ACAGAATACTTAATTATTATATTTATAAAATGTTATATTATTAAATCAAAAATAAATTATTTTGTTATTAAATTTAAATTAAATTATAATAAAAAAATAAATTTAAAAAATTACATAAAAAATGAGAACTTTTAAATAGTTGATTTGATATTAATAATGATACATTTTTTAAAAAAATTTATGATATCTTTAAATTTATATTTTATTCAAAAATAAAATCATTATTGTTTTCTTAAAAACACATAATCGTATTATAATATCGACATAGACAAATAATAAAATAGAACATTAAAATCGAGATGTGCATAAGTACAACTTATTAAAACTTCATATTTGAATTTGTGTAACTAACTGCAGATAAACATAATCAAATATTAGATAAGTATCTCATTTTAAATATGAAAAATCTAAACTATAATTAGAATAATTATTGAGTTGTAACAGAATACTTAGTTATTATCTTTATAAAAAATTATATTATTAAACCTAAATTAAAAAAAAAATTGTTACCAAACCTAAATTAAATTATGATTAAAAAATTGAATTAAGAAAATTACACCAAAAAACTTTTAAAAAGATTAATTTGATACTGATATTGATATATATTTTTACAAAATTTTATAATATTTTTAAATTTATATTTTATTCAAAAATAAAATAAAAACATTATCGTTTTCTCAAAACCACATAAAACTGTTTTATATCGACATAAAAATGAATAAAACGAAACTCTGAAATCAAGATGTATCTCGATGCATTGCACGAGCACCCTTCTAGTATATATATTATAATCACTTTATTTTTTTTAATCAACATATTATATTATTTAATTTTTTCTTTACTATCTTGTTTGTATTAATTAACATATTATATTAATTGAGAATTGTTTTAATTATATTATGAAATATCTTAATTTATTAATTATTCAAAATGTCCTTTTTAATCATTTTACATTTTTCATCTATTTTATCAGCTAGTTTTTACCAAATATCATATGTTTATCAGTTAACTTATCAGCTATTAACTAGTTGATTATTATACATCAACTAGTTTATCAGCTACTTTGTCAAACATAGCCTTAATTATACATTGTTTAATGAAAACCAACCAAAAAGTCAATTACAACAGTTTCTTATAGTATAAATAAAAAGCATATGTTAAAATCTTAGTGTATCTTCAATAGTTTATTTATAATTTCTAAAAATAAATAAACAAAAAAAATCTTTTAAGAGATGTAGTCAACTCAGTTTCTCTATTTTAAAAAGAGTGAATCACACTGATGGTCCATGTGGTTTGCTCAAATTTTGGATTTGATCATTAAAATAAACTATCTACACTGGTGGTTCCTAACTTTTCATTTTCATAACACTCATGGTTCCTCCACTTAACGACGTTAGTTAACAACCGTTATGAAGGACTAATTGATCTTTAAACAAACTATAAGGACCATGACTGTAATCTACTCTAAAATTTAATGTGATTCACAGTTTTTTTATTTTTATTAGAAAATATTTTATATTACCATCACAAATCAAATATCTTAAAATAAAATACATATTAAATAAAAATATTTATATTTATTTGTTATAGTGATGGTATTTCTTAACTGTTTAAATAATCAATATTTTTTTAATCTTAATTTATGATTTTTATTTTATTGTTATTTTAATTATTTGTAGAAAAAAACATGTATCACATTAAATTTTAGAGCAAATTACACTTTTGACCCTATAGTTATTCAAAGACCGATTGGTTCTTCATAAAGATGCTAACTAACATCGTTAAGTGGAGGGACCACGTGTGTTATGAAAATGAAAAGTTAAGTACCACCAATGTAGATAGTTTGTTTTAAGGAGCAAATCCGAACTTTGAACAAACCATAAGAACCACCAGTATAATTGACTCTTCTAAAAATTACTAGAAGGGTACTCGCACAATGCAGCGAGATACATCTTGATTTTAATATTTCATTTTATTATTTATCTCAGTCGATGTTATAGTATGGTTTTATGTGATTTTGAAAAAACGATGATGTTTTTATTTTTGAATAAAATATAAATTTGAAAATATCATAAAATTTTGACAAAAATATATATTGATATTAGTATAAAATTAACTATTTAAAATTCTTCATTTTTTGTGTAATTTTTAATTCAATTTTTTTATTATAATTTAATTTAGGTTCAATAACGAAGTAATATATATTTGGTTTAATAATATAATTTTCTTATAAATATAATAACTAATTATTTTGTTGTAACTCGATAATTATTCTAATTATATTTTAGTTTTTTTATATTTTAAAATGAGATGTTTATCATTGATTTGATTATGTTTATCCACAGTTAGTTACACAAGTTCAAACATGAAGCTTTAATAAGTTGTACATATGCACAATTTACTTGTAATATTAAATTTTAAGTAATATGCATCAATAAACAGTACTTCATGCATAAAAAATGGTTTTTAAAAGTTTTTTATCAAATGTTTTATAATATAGTATAGATATAACTAAGGTATTACTAAAATATCTATTCATTTAATATCCTAACAAACATTTAATAAAATGGTAATTTTCATATTTTTTAATTAAATTAAAAAAAATAAAAAAGTTTAATGCATCTTATCTCTCGTCGCAAATAAATTTTAATGATTTTCCTAAATGTGTAGAATTTTTGGATCTTGAGGATTCTTTAAAAGTCAACTTTCATAATATTTCTATTTATTAAATTTAAAATATTCATTATATGAAAAAACAATTCTAAAATATAAATTTAACATATAATTTAATAAAAACATATAATTAATTGTCTAAAATACGTTTTTATAATATAAATAAAAAGTTACAAAACAAAACTAAAGTTGTTACTTCCAAATAATAATTATCAAGGGACAAAAAATGAAATCGTGATTGGAAAATTTCAAGTGCAAATCATTATAATTTTAAGAGAATTCAAAATAAAAGAAATATTTTTATTACGACCAAATAATAAATTAAATCAGAGAAAGCTAAATGCATATATCTATACTATATTATAAAGCATTTGACAAAAACTATTAAAAATCATTTTTTATGCATGAAGTATTGTTTATTGAAGCATATTACTTAAAATTTAAAATTACAAGTAATCTTGCGTAAGTACAACTTATTAAAGCTCAATTTCTAAATATGTGTAACTAACTGCAGATGAACACAATCAAATACAAGATAAACATCAATTTTAAATATAGAAAATATAAAATATAATTAAGATAATTATTGAGTTCTGATAGAATATATAATTATTATCTTTATAAAAAATTATACTATTAAATCAAAATCAAATTATTTTGTTATTAAATCTAAATTAAATTATAATAAAAAATTGAATTAAAGAAATTACACCAAAAGAATGAGAACTACTAAATAGTTAATTTGATACTAATATCGATTTATTTTTTTAAACTTTTATGTTATCTTCAAATTTATATCTCATTCAAAAATAAAAACAATTATCGTTTTTCCAAAACCACATAAAATACACTGTATTGCATGAATACTCTTCTAGTATGTGTATATATATATATATATATATATATTTCTTTCTTATATGTATTAAAACAATTAATGATTTGACATGATTTTAATATAAATAAAGTGTACATAGAGCAATATCCCTTTAAATGAGTCAAATATAGGATTTAATAGTATCTTCAACAAATTCTCTAAAATAAAGATAATGAAATTTTGTTCTCTATTTTATTTCAACAGATTTCCTATATTGTTTTTTTAAGGGGCCGTTTACCAAATGCTTATCTGGGTAAGCACTTACCAAGTCACATTACCTTACCTGATGAATATGATAAGGATCAAGAAACTTACCCGGTAAGAGCAAAGGCAAGGACCGAGAGTCTTACCCGGTAAGTGATGACGATGACTCTTACCACGGTTAGCGCTTACTGGATAAATTATTACATACAATGTCGTTTTGGTGAACTCAAATCTTATTCAGTAAGTAAGAGATAGTGTTGAATTTTATCGGTAAGCGCTTAACGAACAAGTGTTTAGATAAACGGCTCCTAAAATAGAAAAAATATTAAAAAAAAACTCGAAGTTTAAAAAATTGTCTCAAACCTGATGTGCAAAAAAATGATTTTTTGTATTCATTTCCACCAATAATATTTAACAATATTATTTTGATATATATATATATATATATATGATGATGAAAATGCAGAATATTTTTAATGATATAATTAATTATGAAATATTTTAGATAAATAATATGTTGGAATTAAATATTTTTTTTAAGATTTTAACTTTTGATTTTTATTTTAAAGAAACCAATATATATACCTATCATTTATGACCAAAAAATAAACATTTATTTCTATAAAGACCATTGCATTAAAAATATGTAAAAATTATTATAAAAAAATAAAAATACAATATATATATATATATATATATATATATAGATAGTAGCATAGAGAATGGATTAGGAATCAAGGTCTTTTGAGTTGACCCAAATTCTTTTAGAAGGTACTCAGACAACAGGTGAAAGGTGACCAAAATCAGGATTAAGCATTTACTTTTGTGAGACTTACAAAAGCACAAAACACTCCCCACCCCATTAAACACACCATTGAAATGGAGCTCAGAATGATGAAATACAGCTGTAAACTCTCTCTCTCTCTCTCTCTCTCTCTCTCTCTCTCTCTCTCTSTMTMTATATATATATATATATATATATATATATATAACTTCTATATATCTCTCTCTCTGACTTTGTGTGTTCCCTCACAATATTATACATACCAAATATAAAAGTATGGTGTCATAAATTAGAAAAAGAGAAAGTCAAAATAAGGGGGATAGTCTCTCAGCTGCCTCAAACCCCTTTGCCAGCCATTCTTTACACCAAAAACCAAACAAACCCCTCTCTTTAGCGGTTACAAAGTCCACTACAAAACCTAGATTTTCTATTTTATCACCCCCAATTTTGCTTTTCTTGTCATGTTTCTGAAGATTTACGATCGGTGAGTTCGAATTCAAGACACCCATTTCTTAATTTTTCCATAAATCCTTTGATTTTGTTGATGGGGTTTGTGGGTTTGTTGACATGATGATGGGTTTGGTTGATCATCATRAWTTTTTKSYYTTTTTTTKGKTTTWTTTWAWWAWTYYTTKTTRTTTTTCGATTTATTTTCAGGTTCTGAATTTCGAGGTTAGGGAGGCTGAATTACTGCTACATGGGTAATTTATGCTTCAATTCTGTTTCCAAGGTGACGATTGTTCATCCCTCTTTCTGTATATGCTTTCAGTTTCATGTGTTCTTCAGTTTGATTTCTAAATTTTGTTTGAATACAAGCATGATCAATAAATTGGTTGAGGGAATTGGGTTTTYATAATTAGGGCTTGGTTTTCTAGTAAATCCCCAATTAGGGTTTGTATTTAATTACACTTATTTGATGTAAATTAYAAGTAATAAAGACTTCAATTTTGACCAATTTTTGAAATTCAAACAAAAGGTATTGGATTGGATGTATGGATTATGAAACTGTGGGGTTATGAATGATATCATGTTAGCCTCTTTGAAGTTTGAGGTATTCGAAATTTGGTTTATTCCGCGATTGAGTTTCGTCGCCAATTCTATGGTCGGTCGTCACTCTTGATCGTTGAGCCGCAATTCCGGCATTATTTAATGAGATGTCGTTTTACCATCATGGTCAAAACTGATTCGAAATTATGTGATCTTCATTCGATGTTTTTGCACATTTGTAACAACGAGATTGATCTTTCTCCGCTGTCAAAACTTATTTAAAAAGTGTATTCATTATGCCCACCATTGGTTTATGGTTTAGGGTTTCATGGTGTTTTTGTTTTTTCGATCAAATGGCCGTTGAAAGTCAACGTTTGACTTGTGAGATTATAAATCCGGCGAGCGCGGGTTTTTGGGGAAGAACTCGTTTTTGTTGCCAATTTGACTCGATCGCACTATGTGAGACCTTGGTTAATGTTGTTTTACCATTAAGGGTAAAGTTAACTTTTTTCTTGATATGCAATCGGAAAAATTAATGTGATTTTTATCTGTAGCAAGTTCTCCCCCGAACTTTTAAGCTCGGTGGTTGACTATTGTTGACTTGCATGTTTATGCACATATATACGACATACACACACCAACACCCTACTTCATCCCATCATGACTTATTAAGAACTTCAAGGAAACAACTGCTCTACACTTTGGGGTAGACCAGATACATCCCCACCCCAGACCTTACTTCCAAATGGGATATATTGGGTTCGTTTCTTTTGGTTTATGTATATGGGCCTATATATGCTTTTACTTACTTACTTTTGTTCGTGCTTCGTGCACCATATGTGTCTATATTCCCTTATACATATATGCTCACACTCATGCACAAGCCAGGGGTCTTCACGTAGACATATGCTCTACCCTTTTGGGCAGAGATCAGGTCTGCATACATCTTACCCCCTGACCTTACTTTCAAGTGGGATTTACTGTGTTGGTTTATAAATAAAGTGTTTTTTGTTGTCCACTTTAGCTTGCAGGTGCACAATCATCAAATGGGTCGGGCAAGGGACGAGGCCACCAAGGGACGGTTAGATATGGGTTCACCCTAGTGAAAGGGAAGGCTAATCACCCGATGGAAGATTATCATGTTGCCAAATTCATTCCTTATCAAGGACGTGAGCTCGGACTCTTTGCTATTTACGACGGACATCTAGGGGATAGCGTGCCTGCCTATCTTCAAAGGCATTTGTTTTCCAATATCCTAAAGGAGGTACACATTATGATAGTCAAACAATCTACTTTCCATTCAAAGTTGACCTAAAAACCATTAATTTAAATGAAAATGCTCATAAATAAAGTGCTTATAAGTTTCGTGACGAAAAGGTTAATAGAAAAGGCGACCCTGGTGCACCAAGGCTCTTCAGCTCCTCATGGGTTCCATCTGGATTCTAGATGAAACCCATGAGACCAACTGTTACTTCTGTGCTTTGCAAAGAGGTTGTTTTCTCGACTGGAATGACCTTCCGATCACAAAGGAATAGCGTTACGAGTTGCTTGAGGCTTACCTCTGACAACATAGCGTTTATATTCATTAAAAATGGAATGGAGGGAGTTTTTCCTCTATCGGCTTTTGTGACCCGATGTTTCTCATTACTCCATGTTGACATTAAGTATTTCCAAATTTCGTAAGATGCATGGAAAAATAAAAGCGAAACGGATAATGATCGATTGTTGACGTATATGCCGTACATACGTATGCATGACTCTCGCTTTGATTCCTTTTTTGTCTTTTATGCATCATATTTTCACTTGTAATCTAAATACATACTCTCTTTGGTTATATTCTACGTCGAACTTCTCGAGAATCAGGACGGAAAAAGAAATAAAAAAATTGAACATCACGAGCACCCGATATGCATGCTAGAAAGAGTTGAAATTACCTATTACCCCTCCGAGATAGTGATAAAGTAGTTGTGGTATCGATTATGGTTCAAGATAAAGGATCGTGTTGGTCGATAATCTTTAAATCGAAGGAACAACTTGTTTTTCGAAAATCGCTTGACCATGTGATGTTTCCTGTGATGGCAGGATGAGTTTTGGACGGATCCAAACCGGTCGATTTCGAAAGCCTATGAAAGAACCGATCAAGCAATTCTTTCTCACAATCCCGACCTAGGAAGAGGTGGGTCCACCGCAGTTACGGCGATTCTTATCAACGGTCGCAAATTATGGGTGGCAAATGTCGGAGATTCTCGGGCAGTTCTTTCGAGGAGAGGGCATGCAATTCAGATGAGCGTCGATCATGAGCCCAATACCGAGAGGGGCAGTATCGAAAATCGAGGAGGGTTCGTCTCCAACATGCCAGGTGATACTTTTCGACCCTCGGATTAGTCGTTTTTGGGGTATTTCTAAGGTTTATTTTTCATAAACAATATTATTTTCTCTTTGGACTCTTACCTCCTCGTGGGATATAAAGATGCGCAAAAGGACCAGACTGTTCGGTCTAGGCCTGGCCGGACCAAGATGGGTCCAGTCCGTCGCTCCTAAATTGGTCCTTTTACTTGGCAGATCCGGGCCGGGTTTTTTGGACCAGTTTGACCAGGTCGTTGACCACATCAGATCTTTTAGGACCACACCATGCCCATCTATAGGGGGATATGTTGGAACTAGGTTTCTTTTTTAGGAGATACGATAAGAGATCGACATTTAGTTGATTGTAAGTAACGTTTTCGTGGAATGATATATCAGGAGATGTAGCAAGAGTGAACGGACAACTAGCAGTATCGCGTGCTTTTGGAGACAAGAATCTCAAGAATCATTTACGTTCCGATCCCGACATAAAACACCGAGATGTCGACGCGGATACCGAGATCCTCATCCTCGCAAGCGACGGTTTATGGAAGGTAAAATGAAACTTTGACTTCATAAAGTCAACAAGATCGACCCTTGACACCCTCTTTTCCTAATCGGTCTTGATCCAGGTTATGACGAACCAAGAAGCAGTGGATTTAGCGATAAAGATCCGTGACCCAGAAAAGGCGGCCAAGCAACTCGCCATTGAAGCACTGAATCGAGAAAGTAAAGATGATATATCGTGCATCGTGGTTCGTTTCAAATGATTGAAGAAGAAGAAGAAGACGACGAGTATGTGCAGTATAAGATGTAAATTATGGAGGGTTTTTTTTTTATAATTTGCAGGATTTAAAGATTTACAAAGTCGATCGCCATCGAAAGGACGGTTTCTTTTCGTTTTCTGTTTTAACGATATCGAAGTGTTTGCGTTATTTTTTGATTTCTTGAAGGTTTAGATTTATATACTTTTGGGTTTTGATGGCAAGATTTGAAGGAATTATACACATCATGGTTGGCCATCTTGTAATGCACCTTTATATGTACCTTTGTCCCAACCTTCCAATGAGAAGCTCAAAATTGTTGAAAAGATGATGGGAGATCTTAGCAAACACCAAGATCTTGATGGGATAAATATGTAAATATGAGAAAATTTGGGTGTAATTTAAAGAACCTAAGAAAGTTGAGGGGGAATTTTAAAATTTCTACAAAATTATAATTTAAATAGTGAACTACAAATTTGGTCATGACTAATATATATGGTCCATGTTATGACTAGTAGATATGGTCCCTGTAAATTATGACTAACGTCCATGAGTTAAACGATCATCCACTAACCTCTTGGACTCTGTTAACTCAGGGTAAAAAGCATACTTTTACCCTTTTCTCACATTTTAAAATGCATCGGACCTTTTTTTTTGTCTTTTTCTACCACAAGGAGCAAAAGCGTTAGGTGGTGTTTGGTTCGCATAATGCTTTTGAATAAAATGAAATCTGTTAAAGGAATTTGACTTTGAAGAAATTTGAAATGGAATTGTTGTCAGGTTCGACCACCTGTTTGGTTGACAGACATTGGAATAAATTTGTTAAGGAATTGGAATATAACTATTTGGTTCGCAGAATGTAGCTTTGGAATTGGAACGAAATATTGGTAAATGACCAAAATGTTTTTTTTAATCAATTTTTTTAAAACTAAAAGTACCTTATTAAAATTATTATTTAATATGTAAAACAATATAAAATACACAACCCAAAGATAACCATAAGCCAAACGACGTTACTAAATTGGTGGTGGTCGGCGGTGGTTCAGACTGGTGGTGGTCCACGGTGGTTCAGATCAGTGGTGGTCAGTAGTGGTTCAAATGGCAGCGACTAGTGGTTCAAATGGCGGCGACCAGTGGTTCAGATCGATGATGGTCTGTGGTGGTTCAGTTGGAGGTGGTCAACGGTGCTTCAGATCGGTGGTAGTCACTGATGGTCGGCAGTGGTTCAGATCGGTGATGGTCCGTGGTGCTTCAGGTGGCGGTGATCAGGGCCGTTCCTGAGGTTTTTGATGCCCTGTGCGAAGATGCAAAAAGATGCCCCTATGCCTTTTTCTTAAGCAAATGAAACGACAAAAGATACAATTTTATTAAAATGAAAAATACAAAGGGGGACATAAAAACCAAAACCCCAAATATAATTATATCACCTAAAACGATATCTTTGTGCATTTCTTGAAGCAAAAATATCAATTATTTTTTCATATTCAACATTCGCTAAAAATTTACTTTCAATACTCAAAATTGCTAACGCGTTTAGCCTTTCTTGACTCATGGTAGACCGCAAATATGACTTCAGTAACCTTAGCTTTGAAAAACTTGTTCAATTTTTAAACCCAAATGGTTAAAAGGCCCAAAAATGAAAACTACTACTATAGTCCATATAAAATTTGATACCTCTTTGGGCTTTGATGCCTTGTGCGGCCGCACGGGCTGCACGTGTCCAGGGCCGGGCCTGGCGGTGATCAAATGTGGTTGAGATTGGCGGTGGTCCGTGGTGCTTCAGGTGGCGATGGTCAAATGTGGTTCAAATCGGTGGCGGTCGTCAGTGCTTCAGGTGGCGGTGGTCAAATGTGGTTCAGATCGGTGGCGGTCGTCAGTGCTTCAACTGGCGGTAGTCAGATGTGGTTCAGATCAACGGTGGTCCGTGGTACTTCATGAGGCGGTGGTTGGATGTTGTTCAGATCGACGATGGTCCGTGGTGCTTCAGGTGGTGGTGGTCGGATGTGCTCTGATCAAATGTGGTCGGATGTGGTTCAGATCAGCGGTGGTCCGTGGTGCTTCAGGTGGCGGTGGTCGGATGTGGTTCAGATCAGCGGTGGTTCAGATCAGTGATGGTCCGCAGTGGTTCAGATCGGCGGTGGCCAATGGTGATTCCAATCGATGGTAGTTGGTAGTGGTTCAGATCGATGGTGGTCTATGGTAGTTCAGATGGCGATGGTCGATAGTAGTTCAAATCGGTGGTGGTTCAAATGGCGGTGATCGATGATGGTTCAGATCGGTGGTGGCCGACGGTGGTTCAGATCGACGGTGGTCGACGATGGTCATATTGGGTTTTATGAGATTTAGGTATATTGGGTTAAGGGCATATTTGATATTATGAAAATAAAGAATTTCATTCCATCAAAATATCATGTAGTTGGTAATGAATGTTAAATTCGTTTATTTGTGGAATTTGTAGTATTTTCAAGATTTTTTTTTCGTGAAAAAGGAATGAACTAAACAAGGGAATGAAATTTGGTCAGTGAAACTCAACATTCTAATTCCATTAGATTTCTTCAGAATCTGTAAATCAAGCTTCCCCTTAGTCACTCTATCTTATATATACATATAACATACACACACATGTATATAGCATATACACAAATCTTTAATGATATATAACTTTGATGAAACTAGAAGCCGATGAAACCCTCTACCACCAGTGAACATCGTTTCGGCTAACCCTTCCTCCTCGTTGCTCCGATGAAACCCCAATTCCCTAATCATCACTCCTATGAAAACCTATATATGTTTCTAATGAAAACCTTTTGTTCCAAATATGTGGGATTGGAAGGGGAATCCAAATTTGTTGAAGCATCTCTTCATAAGACTTGTAATTGGCTTCACGTGAGACCCGATTGTTTTCGTAAGACCCATGTGATCACATTTTAACACTTAAAACTTCACAATAAAACATTGTGAAGGTAAACAAAAATATGAACCTTCGTAGAAAAAACATTGTGAATGTTACATTTACAATGTTTTGTTGTGAAGTTTCAAGTAAAAAAGTGGTGTCACGAGTCTCACAAAAATAGTAGTCTGGTCTCACATGACCCCAAGCCTATATATATATATATATAACTTGGAATCATGTGAGATCGGGCTGCTTTCATGAAACCACCTTTTTGCACTTGAAATTTCACAGTAAAACATTGTGAAGGTTCAGATTTTTTTTAAACTTTACAATTGTAAAATGTCAAGTGTAATAATATAGTCTCATGAGTCTCGTAAAAATTGGCTGGTCTCATATCATCCTAGACATATATGTATATAAATATATTTGTGTCTGTGTCTATTTATATTTTACTAGAAGGGTACTCGCGCAATGCAGCGAGATACATCTTGATTTTAATGTTTCGTTTTATTTTGTCCCTCTTTCGATGTTATAATACGGTTTTATGTGGTTTTGAGAAAAAAGTGATAATGTTTTTATTTTTGAATAAAATATAAATTTGAAGATATTTTAAAATATAAAAGTTAAGGGGACAAAATGTACATTGCAACAAGTTAAGTGTGTATAAGTAAAATAGAAAAGTTAAGGGGCTAAAATGTACATTGCAAAAAGTTAAATGTGTCTAAGTAAAATAGAAAAGTTAAGGGGCCAAAATATACATTACAAGAAGTTAACTGTGTATAAGTAAAATAGAAAAGTTAAGGGGCCAAAATATATATTACATGAAGTTAAGTGTGTGTAAGTAAAATAAAAAAGTTAAGGGGCCAAATTATACATTACAAGAAGTTAAGTGTGTGTAAGTAAGATAGAGAAGTTAAGGGGCCAAAATGTACATTGCAAACACTTAAGTGTGTGTAAGTAAAATAGAAAAGTTAAGGGGCCAAAATATACATTGCAAAAAGTTAAGTGTGTGTAAGTAAAATAGAAAAGTTAAGGGGCCAAAATATACATTACAAGAAGTTAAGTGTGTGTAAGTAAAATAGAAAAGTTAAGGGGCCAAAATGTACATTGCAAAAAGTTAAGTATGTGTAAGTAAAATAGAAAAGTTAAGGGGCCAAAATGTACATTGCAAAAACTTAAGTGTGTATAAGTAAAATAGAAAAATTAAGGGGCCAAAATGTACATTGCAAAAAGTTAAGTGTGTATAAGTAAAATAGAAAAGTTAAGGGGCCAAAATATACATTACAAGAAGTTAAGTGTGTGTAAGTACAATAGAAAAATTAAGGGGCCAAAATGTACATTGCAAAAACCTAAGTGTATGTAAATAAAATAAAAAAGTTAAGGGGTCAAAATGTACATTGCAAAAACTTAAGTGTGTGTAAGTAAAATAGAAAAGTTAAGGGGCTAAAATGTACATTACAAGAAGTTAAGTGTGTGTAAGTAGAATATAAAAGTTAAGGGGCTAAAATGTACATTACAAGAAGTTAACTGTGTATAAGTAAAATAGAAAAGTTAAGGGGCCAAAATGTACATTGCAGGAAGTTAAGTGTGTGTAAGTAGAATAGAAAAGTTAAGGGGTCAAAATATACATTGCAAAAAGTTAAGTGTGTTTAAGTAAAATAGAAAAGTTAAGGGGCCAAAATATACATTACAAGAAGTTAAGTGTGTATAAGTAGAATAGAAAATTAAGGGAATAAAGTGTACATTACAAAAAGTTAAGTGTGTGTAAGTAAAATAGAAAAGTTAAGGGGCCAAAATGTACATTGCAAAAAGTTAAATGTGTGTAAGTAAAATAGAAAAGTTAAGGGGCCAAAATGTACATTGCAAAAAGTTAAATGTGTGTAAGTAAAATAAAAAAGTTAAGGGGCCAAAATATACATTACAAAAAGTTAAGTATGTCTAAGTAAAATAGAAAAGTTAAGGGGACATAATGTACATTGTAGAAAGGTAAGTGTGTGTAAGTAGAATAGAAAAGTTAAGTGGTCAAAATATACATTACAAGAAATTAAGTGTGTAAGCAGAATAGAATAAGTAAAATAGAAAAGTTAAGGGCACAAAATATACATTACAAGAAGTTAAGTGTGTGATTGGAAAAAGTTAAGTGTGTGTAAGTAAAATAGAAAAGTTAAGGGGCCAAAATGTACATTGCAAATAAGTTAAGTGTGTGTAAGTAAAATGGAAAAGTTAAGGGGCCAATATATACATTACAAGAAGTTAAGTGTGTGTAAGTAAAATATAAAAGTTAAGGGGGCCAAAATGTACAATACAAGAAGTTAAGTGTATGTAAGTAGAATAGAAAAGTTAAGGGACC